GCACCCACCCCGCTGGCCAACAGCTGCAACCAGCCCTGTGTCACCCAGTGCCAGGACTCCACCGTCCTCATCCAGCCCTCCCCCGTGCGCGTCACCCTGCCAGGGCCCATCATGACCTCCTTCCCCCAGAGCTCCGCCGTCGGATCCGCCGCAGGGGCTGCCCTGGGCACGGAGCTCAATGCCCAGGGACAGCCCATCTCCGGCGCCTTTGGGGCCTTTGGCTACGGCCTCGGCTCTGCCCGTGCCTTTGGCTACGGCCTGGGAGGCCTGGGCTGCTACGGCACCAGGGGCTGCTCCATCTGCTGAGGGTCCTTCCACCACAGCTCACACCCCCTGGACCTGCCCTTCTCCCCCTTGCACCAATATCTCCTGCAAGCAAAGCACCTTGGCTGACGATCGCCCTACTGGCACCTCACACTGGATCCCTTCCACTTGTATCTCTTGTTTTTTCAGTCTTTTGTCTCAATAAAGTTCTCCTGCAGCACAGCCCAAGACACCTCTTTCTCCTCTTTTCTACCAGAGCTTTTCCAACTTCACCCCCTACAGAGCCAGGGCTCAACAGGCCATTGGGGTGGGTGGAAAAGGGGCACAAGACACCTCCTAGGAAATATGTCACCACCACCAGCAGCAGCATTGACTGAGGGTCTGTCAGAAAGTTCCCCCAGCCCATCACTGATCACACTCAGGCTTTGCCATGACAACGCTCCCTCTGACACCCCAACCCTTTGCTCTCACCCCAAACACCTCCAGTCCCTCTCACACCATCTTCCCTCACAGCCAGGTCCCAGGAACACCCACACAAGCTCCCATGTCCCTGTCCCCTCGTGCCCCAAGGACCTGGGGTAACCCATGCAGGGTGTCCAGCTCACCACCCACCCTTCTGGGGGCTCCTCAGCTCACCCAGCTCTGAGTCCCTGTTGCCCTGTCCCTCTGGCTGTCCCCATTCCTCCTGCCTGGGAGTGCCCGGGCCAGGATCTCACCTTGCTGTGGCTCTGCAGCTGATCCCTGATAGAGATCCCCCAGCCACCCCCACTGCTCACTGCAGGGCCCCACAGGGACCCCTCCTGGGGGTCTCTGCACCACCCTCCTCCCTCTCCAGGGGCCCTGCAGCGCCTGTGCAGGTGACCCCAAGCCCCCCTCCCTCTGCTCTCAGGTCCCACAGCAAGTCCCCTTTGTGAGGTCACCGTCACTGGGCATTCCTGAGGCACAGCACGGACACCTTGGAACCAGGGACAAGCAGGGACAAGCCTGGCACCCTGCTCTGCTCAAAACTTGGGGCTCTGTACGGGGAGGGGGGGTTATCTTTACAGGACTCTGAGTGGAGTTGAGGACGAGGAGAGCACTCCCCAATCACCATCATGGGTAAAACAGACCCCACCCAGGGGAATGCATTTAATCCATTCAAAATCAAACCTTACAGGAAGAAAATGTGACAGAAAACCAAACTGCAAATACCTTCCCTTCAACCAGGCTCAACTTCACTCCCCACTTCTCTGCCCCCTCTCCCCAAGGAGCTCAGGGCCATGGACAAGGTGGGTTGGGGTTGGGCTTGATCTCTGAGGGCTTCCAAGGTTAACCCAAGGCTTAAGTCAAGGCTTAAGTGCCACTAAAACCTTCTTACATTTTTTCCTCTCCAGCTCTGTCCACATAAATAATTCAAAAATAATATAACTTCTGTTAATCTGTTAACATTTAATACCGGTTTCACCCATGTAGTGGGTTGGACTTAATGATTTTGGAGGTCTTTTCCAACCCTAATGATTCCACGAGACGATTCTAAGCAACAAAATGGTTCTTGTTATCAAATCCATTTAATTTAATACAAGATAATTAAGCGTAACTTACAACAAACCACCTTTTGCTGATGCAACTTTTCCATGTCCTGTGGATTCACCATTTCCCCCTGAGAAGTTGGACAACACTTCCTGTGGCCTTTTCCACCCCTCACTGTTTGTAAATCCGTGGATAAAGGAGCTCAGAGATCCTCCCTATGGCATTCAACCAAAAATATCAACCCCAACAAGGAGGGGAAATGTCCTCATTAAATAACCCCACCCCCAAACCAGCTGCAGGCAATAAAATCATCAATAGACCCTACAAGCAGATGATGGAGAAGGAAAAATATCCCCCTGAAAATAAAATAAAAACTCTTCTTCTCTGAGTAAATACATAAAGATCCACCAGAATAAAGGCCAGCAATAAATCACCCAGCAAAGGCCTCCTGGGGGGGAAAAGCTGCCAAAAAAAAAAAAAAAAAAAAAAAAAAAAAAAAAAAAAAAAAAAAAAAAAAAAAAAAAAAAAAAAAAAAAAAAAAAAAAAAAAAAAAAAAAAAAAAAAAAAAAAAAAAAAAAGGTGAAAAAACACCTGGTCAGAAAGCCCTGATTAAGGAAATCGAGATTGAGAGAGAATCCCACAAAAAAAACCTGCCAAAAATAGAGGGGAAAGAGAAAAGAGAAAATAACCAGATTTAACAAGAAGAGGAAAAAATCCCCAGAGGGATTTAAGGGCACCCCCTGTTCTCCTCAGCTCTTTAAAGGGGCTCATCCAGGTTTCTTCCTGAATCCTGGAATGGTTTGGGATGGAAGGGACCTAAAAGCTCATCCAGTCCCACCCTCCATGTGCAGGGACATCTCCCACCATCCCAGGTGCTCCAACCTGGCCTGGGACACTCCCAGAGATCCAGGAGCAGCCACAGCTTCTCTGGGAATTCCAGCCCAGCCCCTCCCCACCCTCCCAGCCAGGAATCCCTTCCCAATATCCCCCCTAACCCTGGGCAGCCATTCCCTGGGTGCTGTCCCTCCAGCCCTCATCCCAAATCCCTCTCCAGCTCTCCTGGAGCCCCCCCAGGGAAGGAAAATGACCTTTAAAGGTCACTTCCAACCCAAACCGTTCTGAGATTCCACAAAAATAAACAGGAAAAGCTGCTCAAGCCTTGAATAACTGAAGGAAAAATCAGGATATTTGGGGCTGGAAAGGATCCTAAAGCTCATCCAGCCCCACCTGCCACGGGCAGGGACACCTCCCACCACCCCAAGTTGCTCCAAGCAAGCCTTGGACACTTCCAGAGATGTGGGAATCCACAACCTCTGGAAAACCTGTTCCAGCATCTTCCTGCTGTTTGAATCCCACCTTGTTTTGGGCTGGGAGGTAAGGAGGAAGTAAATCCCACCAGGATAAACCCAGGACATGGATCCAGGGATATTTCCACACCACGAGTGCCCAGGAAATGTGAATAAACAGGGATGGAGCTCTTAAAGAGGGGTTTTCCAAACAAAACTCCATTTATTCCTTTAATTCCTGCTCTTGTTTAATCACTGGGGGAGGGGGGGCAGGGGGGTGTTGACAGTTGTTTCAAGCCTTTAAATAACTTTTAAAAAATATTAAAAGATAAAATAGTGCCCCGTTTCCACGGCGACAGAGCCAGTGGGAACTCACGGGACTGACTGGTTGGAACAACATTGGAAAGGCATGGAAAACCCGCTCTGAGATTCCCAAGGAAGCTCCAGGCAGAGGGGAGGGATGGTTGTGGCCTGAAATGGGATCATGGAATGCTTTGGGCTGGAAGGGACCTCGAGGATCGTCCCGATCCAAGCCCCAAGGGGGTGGAAAGGGATGAGCAGGGGCTGAAGTTCTGAAGAAGTTTTTGGGGCCTCCTTCCCACCTGGGCACTGTGGGAAGACAGGGATCTCTGGGATACGTGGAGCCATGGAATCATTTAGCTTGGAAAAGCCCCCCTGAGGTGGTTGAGCCCAACCACTCCCACCGCCCTGCTCCGTGTCCCCAAGTGCCACATCCATGGGGACGCTGAATCCTCGCAGGGCTGGAAATTCCAGCCTGTGCTAGGACTGGAAAAACCCTTTCCAGGAGGAATGTTCCCCACTATCCCACCTAAACCTCCTCCTGGGCAAACTGAGGCCGTTCCCTCTCCTCCTGTCCCTCATTCCCTGGGAGTAGAGCCCGATCCCACCTGGATCCCCCCTCCTGTCGGGAATTGTTGGGATCCAGAAGGTCCCCCCTGAGCCTCCTTTTCTCCCCCCAGCTCACTGTGGGGTGAGTTTTGGGAGTGATTCCAGCAGAGTTTCAGAGTTCAATGCAGTTCTTGCCACCCAAAACGCATCCAGGTGTTCTCATTTCCCTCGGATGGGAACAGGACACCCCCATCTTCCCTTGGGAATGTGTTCCCAGGTGTTTCCTTGCAAAACTCCAGGATCTGGAGCGGTGGGAAAGCAACAAAACCTGCCTTGGAAAAGAAGGATTGATAAAAAAGAGAGAGGGCAAATCCAGAAGATCATAAAAGAGGATCCATATCCTACAAATGTTGGGATAAAACACCATTATTTGAGGAGGAGGAGGAGCTGAAGTGTTTTTATGGGGAATTCCCAGAGGAGCTGTGGGTGTTCCACGCCTGGAAGTGTCCAAGGTCAGGCTGGGGCCACCTGGGAGAAAGGTGGAAGGAGATGATCTCAAAGGTCCCTTCCCACCTAAAACATTCCATGAGTTGGTGATGGCTTTCCTTGGATCAGGACAAAAAGTGCTCCTTTACTCCCTAAATTTATTTTAATAAAATTTAATCAGATTAAAGTGGGAAAAACTGAATAATTACAACCAAACCAGCCCAGAACTAAACTCTTCCAAAACTAACCCCCATAAAAAACAACCCCAACTCGACTCAGCAGGAGGAAAAAGTTCCCAGGAAAATCCCAAACTCACCGTTTCCCAGGATTCCCCCACGTCCAGGACGTGCAGGGGAGCAGGGAGGGGGGAAAATGGGATGGAATTTGGGTCCTTCTGCCCCCTCCCAAAAAAAATGCCACGGGGTGGACGTGAGGAAGGTCAGGAGGAGGAACATCAGAGGAGCAACCTGCAGGCCGAATTCCCGGGAAAACCTGCACGGCAGGGATTTGTGGGGAGCTTGGGAAGGGAATAAAAGGCTTTTTTTGTGGTTGCTGCTCCCAGATCCTCCATTCCCAGAGTTTTGGCCGCGGGGCAGAAGCCGCTCCGAGGGTTCCCGGTGTCCCCACCCCACTCAGGTGGAACTCATGGGATGTGTCATCCCCCCACATCCCCCCCCCACCCCGAAATATTCTGGGCTTTGGCCTTGGGGTGTTTGGGATTTTGGGGTGCTCGGGTGTTTGGGGTGTTCAGGATTTGGAGTGTTGAGGATTTGGGGTGTTCAGGGTTTTCGGATGTTCAGGTTTTGGGGTGTTCGGGGGTTTGGGGTGTTCAGGATTTGGGGCATTGAGGATTTTGGGATGTTCAGGATTTTGGTGTGCTCAAGATTTTGGGGTGCTCAGGATTTTGGGGTGTTCAGGAGTTTGGGGATGTTCAGGATTTGGGGTGTTCAGGAGTTTGGGATGTTCAGAGGTTTGGGGTGTTCAGGAGTTTGAGATGCTCAGGATTTGGGGTGTTCAGGAGTTTGGGGTGTTCAGGAGTTTGGGATGTTCAGAAGTTTGGGGTGT